TCTATCTATCTATCTATCTATCTATCTATCTATCTATCTATCTATCTATCTATCTATCTATCTATCTATGAGACCCATTCCAGGGAAAGCATACACCCAAGCACACATTCTGTTCTGTGCTGGAACATCAAAGCCTAGTGAGACATTTTAGTCTTCCATCAAGAAACAAAGTAGACATTGGCTCTGTCAATGAGGTAGATAAAAAGGAGACCCTCTCCCTGATTCCCTGAGAGCCCCTGATATCCCTGCAGTTGTGAAACATGTACTAATCAACTCATAGAGACCACGGATAGCTTGTAGACTTTACCCTGCTAGACGAAGCAAAGATACTTCCTGTGACATGTGCTGGCATGGGTAGGGATGTGATCATTTCAAACATCTCAGATTTAGGATCAAGTTCAGCCTTGTTTGGGCACCAGGAAGTACTTTGAATATGTCTCAGGTGTGGACACTGGTCTTCTTGGATAGCATCCCAAGAGAGAGGTGTTTCTATATAAAGGGCGAGTGGATCGATAAAATGGAATACAAATGATGTCTACCACATATTCTCTAGACTTTAGATTCCATTTCTGTGGAAAACCAGACTGGGTAGTTTTGCGCACTGGATGGAAAGAGTATAATACTGCCAGTGGGTAGTGTGATTAGGCTGAAAAGAGCGCTGTGTCAAAAGGAAAGGCAGCAGGATGTCTGAGTAGGTTGGGAGAAAGTGGTCGCTAAATGACTGCTGCAGGGTACTGCTTTCTGAAATCAGGGAACCTGCAGGTCAGATACCGAGAAGTGGTCATGACTACAAACAGAAACTATCTGGATAATAATACTGAATCAATTATAAAAACACACTCTAAACTCCATTATTTTAATATAACCAAACATTTTGTCCTATAATGATCATTCCATCCAATCATTTCAAATAACCACTAAATCTAACATTGAACAAGAGACCAACCTGTCAGATTTCTTTAATACAGCAATAACAAATATAAAAACCTCTTTTAATTATTTTAGCTATTGCCTGCTTTTTACTTCAGATTCTTCTGTCAATATGTTT